TGCTCGAGAAATTCAAAATAATGCGAAAGGAGCTTAATTTTCTTGTTGCAAGTAATAAAAACTTGGAATCATTATATCTTAATGACACAGAATGGAATGATATCGATTCAATAATTGAATTATTGGAACCAATGTTTAAAGCAACAAAAATATTATCATCATCCACTTATCCAACCATTAGTGATATTCGTTTAACATTCAAAGGACTCTTACAACATATCGAAAATTATATGAATAATCATACAGAAAAAGAATGCATGATGGCTGAATCTATTCGCAAAAAACTTGCTGATTATTGGAATCTTTTTGATGATCCTACAACAATTTCTACTATACTGGATTCACGCTCAAAATTACTTTTACAACTGAAGAAGAAAGCAACATAGCTATTACAAAACTTAAAACACTAATACAACATTATCGTTATTCTTCCAAAATCAACTACCACCACATCAAATAAACAAAATGTACGATCATTTTTTGAGTCGCTAATTACACAAGAAAAACAACATGCATCATCATTAGATGATGAGTTAACACGTTATTTTTAGTCTTGCCATAATCCATTAATCTGGTGGAAACAATATGAAGATCAATTTCCAACATTAGCAAAAATAGCACGAAGTTATCTTGCTATTCAAGGCACAAGCGTTTCATGTGAGCAAGCATTTTCAGTTGCTGCACATACTCTCACCAAGGTTCGAAACCGCCTTTTTCCAATATCAGCTCAAGCTTATTTAAACATTAACGAACATTATTGTTATTGTCATAATTAATTAAGATATATAAATAAATTTGTATACGTTAATTATTGGTGGATTTTTCCACGCATGTGATTAATCAATAACCACCAACCGGGATTTTTCAACCGAACTGAACCGACTCGAACCGATAACATCCCTATTTAGATATTACCATAAATCTTGTATATAATTTTGAACTGGTTGGGGGAAGGTACTGTACGTATATTAAGCACGTTATTTTACGTATACTATGTACACATGTATATCTTGTATGAATGTTAAAGTTACAAACAGCAATGATCTACAAATGTAGAACACGAAAATTAGGGTAACTTCGACACTTCATTACTCAATTTTTTTTATTAATAAATTACATTAAAATATATACTATTTTATTCAGTAAAAACAGGGTTATCTATACATAGATTTTAATATCGGGTTGGATATTCCTTTGCTTCGATTACAGCTTGTACTCTTCGCGGCATACTTCAACTAAATTTTTTAGGACTTCAGGCTCGATATTTTCCCACTCCTCTACGAGAGCATCCATTAAATCCACTTTGT